CCGTATGTCGAGGGGCAACGATAGGGGGGGACTGGCACATGAGGGGGAACATCGACCTGAAATCGGCGATGCATCGCCGACAGATCGGCGATAGGCCTACGATAGTCAAACCGCACCTTCCTGGGCAGGTTGGGGCCATCGGGCCCCTATCGGCGATCAACGGGCGATTGAGGGTCGATGCGTCGACCCCAATGCCTATCCCCCCCTACCGTTGCCCCTGACATGTTTGTAGCTCTGAGGACCTGCTGTTCCACGGGGTCGTCATCAAGGAGGTTCTGAAAGTCCTGGGCGGCAAGCAGGCCGCTCAGGGATGAAGCGCCGCCGAAAACTCAGGGGGCTCGAGAGCCCAGACTTTCTGAGGGGGAGGAGGAGGAGGAGGAGGAGGAGCTCGAGGAGGAGGAGGAGGGAGGAAGAGGAGGAGGAGGATGAGGAGGAGGGGGAGGGGGGGAGGAGGATGAGGAGAAGGAGGAGGAAAAAGAGGAGGAGGAGGAGGAGGAGGAGGAGGAGGAGGAGGAGGAGGAGGAGGAGGAGGAGAGGAGGGACGGGGGCAAGAGAATTGACCACCCTCCTCAAGCCCAGGTCCCGGCGGAGATCTACGCTGCGGCGGTGCACCAGCTGGACATGGCTGGAGGTGCATGGGCAATCCACGGGGCATGGCAGGGAGGGGGGGGGAGGAGGACGGACGGGGAGAGGGGGTCCTTCCGCCCCCTCTTCCCCTCGACCCTCCTTCCGCTCCGTCCCTCTTTCTATTTCCTCCCTTCCATTCCCTCCCACCCCGCCGCGCCTTCAACTACCGCCCCCTACACGTCAGGAGTGAGGGTGCGGCAATTGAAGGTGCAGCAGAGGGGCAAGGGGGGGGAATGGAAGGCAATTGGCAGCGTCGCCCCCAGGTTGCCGCTACGACAACTGCAACAAGGCCCAGCAGCAAGCGTTTGAGATGTTCAACCCAAGTTCGTGGGCCCAAGCTGAGGGCAAGATATTGCATGATCTGATTTCATATATTCATAAGTTGGCACGCAACAGTGCCAGTTCCCAGAACAACGATCTCGCCGAGATGAAGGCGCTGTGCCCCAGTGAGCCCCAGACTCGCAAGCGGCGCGGCACCAGCGATGACAGCCAGCCGCCCGAGATGCCCGACCTCGAGGACAGCTTGGCCGGCGCTGAGTGCGAGTCAGGGTGGTGGCACGAGCCCGACGACGCCAAGCAGAGCAAGCCGAACGAGGACGAGTCAGGGCGGCACGAGCCCGACGACGCCAAGCAGAGCAAGCCGAACGATCTCGAGGACGAGTCAGGGCGGCAGGAGCCCGTCGACGCCAAGCGGAGCAAGCCGAACGAGCACGAGTCAGGGCGGTGGCAGGAGCCCGACGCCAAGCGGAGCAAGCCGAACGAAACCGAGGCAGCGGCGGGAAAGGAGGAGGAGGAGGAGGAGAAACTGAAGGAGGAAGAGGAAGTGAAGGAGGAGGAGGAGGAGGAGGAAGTGAAAGGAAGAGGATGAGGATGAGGATGAGGATGAGAATGAGGATGAGGATGATGATGATGAGGAGGAGGAGGAGAAGAAGGATTAGGAGGACCCCGAGCTCAATGCCATCTCGAAGGCGTGGAGGAGGAGGATGAGAGGGACGTGGGGGGGAGGGATGTGATGACCCCCCCGAGCCCCGCATGATCATGAACTTCGGCCCTGGCAACGTCTTCCTTGGCTGGAAGCCTCTACGGTTAGAGGCCTCCTCCTCCTCCTCCTCCTCCTCCTCCTCCTCCTCCTCCTCCTCCTCTTCCTCCCCCCTTCCCCTCCCCCTCCCTCTCCTCCTCCTCCGAGGAGGAGGGGGGCCCCCTCGATTCCGCATCCTCCTCCTTCTCCTCTTATTCCAAGGGGGATCTCCCTTGATCCCCCCCTCCTCCAGGAGGGGTGCCCCCCCCCGCTCCTCCTGCCTGGTTTCCTCGCGCTTTGCAGGTCGACGAGGTCATGGATGAGGAGGCGAAGAAGGCGCTGCCAGTGATCAAGGGCCTCATCTCGAGCCTCGACCCCGGTGCTGATGAGGACCCTTGATCCAGCGAAAGTGAGGGGTCCACGATTTAACTACTCCCATCCCCCAGCCATCCCTGGCGGGCGCCAGGATCTCGAAGTTGAGTGCATGCTGGGGAGGGTGGAGGAAATCGAGACAAAGATCTTAGGGCTCCGCTGGGATGAGGCTTTCGACGCAGCCGGGGTCCCTTGTCTTCCCCGCTAGACTGACCCTGACCATATATATATATATATATATATATGGGGACAAACTGAAATGGAGAGGGGGAGAGGGCAGGGAGAGAAAGAGAGTGGGATACAGAGAGAGAGGGGAAACTACAAGAGTACAGCTAAGCAACCACAACAAGCAACAACACGCAGCAGCAGCAGCAGCAGCAGCAACAACAACGGCAAGGGTGCATGCATGGGAGAGGGAGGGGGGAGGGATCGATGACGATGGATGTTTCTAAATAGGACAGCGTGCATGACATTGCGCGCAAGATGGCCACGCAACAGTTCGACCCCAACGACCCTCGCTTGCACAACTACTTCGATTTCAGCATGATGGGTAAAGCCATCGAGATCGATGAGTCCGATGACGAACGCCCCGCCGCGGCCTCGCACCCCGCTGGGGTCTGGGACGAGGCCGCCGCGCCCGAGGAGGAGGCCAAGGAGGAGAGGAAGCTACCAACGCCACTACGGGTGCCGTCCGCCGCCGCACTGTTGGAGAAAGCCAAGAAACAACCCCCTGTGTCCACCAAGGCCGAGGAGGACAAGGCCAACGCCGCTGTGAGGAAGCGGCCAGCGGCTGCGACGGCGCCCGCCCCTGCACCCGCGGAGCCCAAGGGCGGCGAGGAGAGCGAGGGCACGCCGGATCCGAAGCCACGTCGACCTACGATCGGCCACGGCGGCAGGGCGCTGCCCAACCACCTCGAGTGGGCAGAGAGGCACCAGGACATTCTCAAGCTGCTCCCGAGCGAGGCCCAGCCACCACCATTTGACCACGGCGAGAAGACGTACACGGTCAACCTCACCCTGGGTCCGCTGAACAAACCAGCAAGGATTGAGGTCCACGTCAAGGCGAAAGCCTACAGAGTGGTGCGCCCGAAAATGGTCAAAGAGGAGAAGCCGCTGACCCCCTGGGGGGAAGATGCCCACGCCGCATGGGAGGAATCTAAGACTAAGGCCCTCACAAAGCTCGACGCCATGTGATTGATTGCACGTGCCACTTTCAGCGATGACGATGGTGGTGGTGGTGGAGGGGGGAGGCAGGGGGAGGGCATCAGAGAAAGCAGGAGCAGCAGGGTCAGAATAACAGGAGGAACACGGGGAGGCATGGAGGACGAACGCGATGCACCGAGCGCGGCTCGGAGTGCTCTCTGTGCAGCACCTTTACGCTGGCTTCGGACTGTGTGCGCGCGAGCGGAGGGCGCCAACGTCCCCAGCTTTTAAGGTGGGCCCGGCCACTGGAGGAGGAATCGGATGAGGCGGGAAGGGGGGGCCCTCCATGGGCCACCCTATGGTCGAGGAGGAGGAGGAGGAGTGGAGGAAGGAGGAGGAGAGGGAGGAGGAGGAGGAGATGGGAAGACGAAGACGGGAACCACGAACCGAAAGTGCAGCTTTCAGGCCCAAGAGGCCCCCCAGGAGGAGAGGCCCCCCAAAAGGCCCCGAGGAGCCCCCAAGAGGCCCCAAGAGGCCCCCAAGAGGCTCCAAGAGGCCCCAAGAGGCCCCAACACGGCCCCCAAGAGACTTCAAAACTGCCTCCCAGAGGCCACCAAGAGGCCCCAACACAGCCCCCGAGTGGCGAGGCAACTTAAAGAGCATAAGGCCCTCCTCCTCCTCTCAGTGGCTCCACCTCGTCACCAAAGCCTTGGCCGACTCTCAAGATCGGCCTCCTCCTGGTGCCGCGCCGAGTCCTCGCCCGCCCCGTCCTTGTGCTTGTCCTCGTGCTCCCCCTCCTTTTTCTCCTCCTCCTCCTCCTCCTCCTCCTCCTCCTCATCCTCCTCCTCCTCCTCCTCCCTCCTCCTCCTCTTTCCCATCCTGCGCTTCCTCCTTTCCGATTGCCTGTTCCCTTCGTTTTCCCGTGCATTGTTTCATGGGCCGATGATTGTCAGGGCATGGCCCAGCATTTGAACGCTGCGCACTCTGGCCACGCCGTTTTGCGAAGGATGGGTCTCTGCACGTGTATTCTGATCGCGAGAATATCTTTGCAGATTATCCTGGTGGCGGTGCATTTTTGTTTGTTTCAACGAGCGCCCACCTCGATGCGCTCCCGCTGGGTGGAAAATGGGAGCTCCGAGCTGCGAGGGCAGCGTGGGCAGATGATAAGGCCATTCGGGAGCTTCTCACTCTACTCAGCACATCCCCCAAGGGCCCCAGTAAGACCTTTCGGAGGCCCCTCGTTCGTATATTCACTTTAGGTTGTCAATCATGGGCAAGTGGTAAGACCATTCGGGACCTCCTCCCTCTCCTAGTCCTCCTACCCTCCACTCGTTACTTCCCCCAGAGACCCCAATGGGACTAAGACTGTTCGGAAGCCCCTCATAATGAACTTCGCGTTGTCGAGCACCCGCCGCTCTGGATCAGAGCGAGGGGCTGCGAGCTGCGAAGGTAGGTTGGACAAAGTGTAAAACCGTTCGGGAACCCCTACTCTGATATGCACGTTGCCACATGAGTAGTCATATGGGCTCAGGGATTCAGATCTGCACGATCGAATGGCCACTCCAGCTACAGATCCCTCTCCATCCGAAATCGAATCTGAGGATTTCGAAGAGTTTGTCGATGTTCAATCACCTTGTAAGCGTGCCAAGGTGTGCACAGATGTCCCGACTTTTTCTAGCATCGTGCAGGGCAAGAAACTGGTCCCCCAAAAAATGATACAAATCATGACGATGCTTCTCGCGTGCAACGGCAAGCCGGTGCCGGTCCACAGCGTGGAATTGTTTGCTGGCTGCCATTCCGTGACCAACGGAATCAGGGGCCTGGGGATGTCTGCAGTAAGCTTGGATTTTGCAACTGTGAGCTCTTGGGACAACATTAACACGAGCTCAGGTTTCCTAAAGGCCCTCACGTTCATCATGGCACTTAAGCCCGACGGCTTCCTGTGGGCGGCGCCGCCCTGCTCCAGCTGGGTGTGGATTGCGCAAGGCACGACTGGCAGATCCAGTCGCAATCCGATGGGTAAAAAAACAGAGAAGGTCAGACAGGCGAACGAGCAGGCCAGCCGCTGCGTTCTCCTCCTCCTCGTTGGGATGCTGCTGCATAACATTCGGTTCATGGCTGAACAGCCCGTCTCCTCTCTGATGTCAAAGCACCACCGATGGGTTCAGTTCTTCGAAGGCCTCCAGGGGCGCCTGCACGAGGTGAACGTGTGGATGCAGCCCTTTGGAGCCGATACTCCTAAGAGAACCTGGTTGGTGAGCAATTGTCTGGATGTGCATAAGTTAGCACTCCCTTGGGATCGAAGCAGAGAGGCTTCTACAATTCAAACCACACATACATCAATATCATCAGTCTCTGGCAAAGCGCAGGTCACCGGAACGTCTGCTTTGAAAAAGACGCAGGCCTACCCCGCTGAGTTTGGCAAGGCCGTCGCCCTTGCGTATCACGGCCATTTGTTCGAATGTACATTCGGAGACGGCACTCCTTTAGATATGCTCGAGCACGTGCCGTGCTCCGAAGATCCATGGGAAGATGCAGGCCTCGATTTAGTGCTCAGTGATTTGCAGCGTTTGTGCGATAGCAAGCAGAAGTGAACCTGAGAGCGCGCAGGCAATGTTTCGGGCAGCGTGCTCGCCGCCATCAGCATCATCACCACCACCAGCATCATCACCATCATCATCATCGTCATCGTCATCATCATCAAGGTCATCGCAATCGCGTCGTCTTGCAACCCCCTTTCCTCCATCCTTGCATCCTTGCCTTTCGGCCCCTCCTTGGCCTCCTTCGCTGGCCGCGCCCCGCCCGCAAAATGTCGACATGACCTTCCGAGGCCCCTGCATCCTCATCGCGGGTTGACTGCAACCCGCTGGCCCCCAGCGCGAGAGGGCGAGAGAGGGAGGGGGGAAGTAGGGAGACAGCCAATGCAAAGGGGGGTCACCACTGCAGGGGGTCGCCTGGGATCGAGGATAGATGCACTTGCGAGCGGTTTTGTTGATTCCGAGGCTTCAAGTGTACAATCAGACATCTCGAAGATTTGGCGACCCTCAAAATGGCGACCCCCCGTAGCATTGCCTGGAGCCGCGCCCCGCTGCGCCCGATATTTCGGGGACACCTACATCGAGCAGGCCCGCGCGTGCATCTGCCCGCGCGCGCTGCCTGCAGAGAGTTCGAGAGGCTGCGATCTCCCTCGCTCGCTGGTGGTCCCCTCGCTCTGCCCGCAAGTGATGATGGCCAGCTGCAGGGCCCTTAAGATTGTAAGTTCAATAATGGGTGGTTCTATCGAAATCATTTGGCGACCATATGGGCGCTGAATATGGTGAGAAACCGAAAGATAGACCCCCCACAGCGGGAGAAAACGGGAGAAACCGAGAGATAGACCCCCCAGAGCGGGAGAAAACGGGAGAAACCGAGAGATAGACCCCCCAGAGCGGGAGAAAACGGGAGAAACCGAGAGATAGCCCACCTGAAAACATGAGAAAACGGGAGATAGACCCCCATGGACGTAATATCTCTCGCTTTCTCGCGCCAGCGCGCCCGAAAGCTCGAAATGCTGACCCCGAGCGACCGGGAGAAACCGGGAGAAACCGGGAGATAGAGGCCCCATAGCGAGAGATAGCGGGAGATAGCGAGAGGCCATCCAGAGCGTTTTTCTGACCTCATTTTCGAGAATATTGCGCCAGAAATTTGACGTTTGTCCACGGGGGGCACGCACTGCAGGTGCTCGAGTGGCAGTTCCGAGGCCACATGGCCCCCAAGCCCCCAACATGGCCAAGCCAGAACCCATCCGAGCCCACTCCAAGGCCATTGCACTCCACGCCTCCAGGCCAGAGCCCAATCCAAGGCCAAAGCCCAGCACCCCAAGCCCACTCCAAGCCATTTTCGGCTCGAATATTTGAGGTGGTGTTTCGAGCAACTCTACTAACGTGTACTGTGTACTGTACGCCAGTTCAAGATGAAAATGGGTTTGAAATTTCTGAGGGACCGCAACGGCAAGCTGGTGACGGATTTTCAGGGGAAGGTGATCCTAGTGAAGACCGAGCCCGATGATGAGCCCACTGGCGAGCCCGAGGGGCCAACCACAGCACCAGCATCGCCATCTTCTGCTTCGGCAAGCGCGGGCGCGGTGGCAAGTTCCTCGGCAGCACCAGCGTCGACTCCAATGGCGGCAAGCCCAGCGGCGGCGGCGGCTTCAGGGTCGGCGGCATCGGCGGCGGCTCCAGGGTCGGCAACTTCGGGGTCGGCGACTCCGAAGTCGGCGCCGCGGGTCCGCGTCGACTCGACGTCACGGGTCATCCTCGACTACACTGGGTCGCCCATTCTGCATCAGATCGGATCGAAGGTAGTCGCACCGAAAAGTTACACAGGGGCACGCGTGCAGCTTTCGTCGACCACCCCTACCCCCCTCCACCCCACCCCGCACCCCCAGCGGATGCATGGTGGGAGCGGAGGTTGTGCTAGACGTCGCCACGCGCGTGGGCGGTATATCTTTACCGTATAGGGCTTCTTGGAAGGCATGGTGCTTCTTGGAAGCCCTCAGGGGCTTTCGAGAATCCCTCGGAGGGCTTCTAAGCCCCCCCACTCCCCTGCCCCCCTCGGCACGCAGCCGAGAGGTCGAGACGGAGCAGCGGCCCTCGGCGGTCAAGTCGCCGCCCCCCACGCACCCAGCGGCCGCGAGACCGGCGAAGGTCGAGCATGAGAAGGAGGATTTCCCACATCAACATGGTCGGTGCTTCCGACCCGCCCCCGCCCCTTGCGCTACAGTCAGACCGAGGTATAAGATCGAGGTCGTTTCGTGGAAGGTACGCTAGTGTTCTCCTAGATGTTATGTTTGTTTTGGCCGACGGAGAGTCTCATGTTCTTGAGGGATGTTCTTCTGGTCTGGGTCCGACTGTACGGGGTGGGGGGGGGTGGGCCGATCGCTTCAGAGACTCCGAGGATCCGACGGCGGACACCCTGATCTACGCTGCTGGCGGTGGCGACGCTGGCGGGCCCGAGGCATCCACGGGCCACGATGCTTCACATCTTTAACTCCGTCCCTCCTCCTCATCCTC